TGTGTAACCGTCTGAACTCTCCGGTTAACTCATCCTTCTTCGGTCCGAATATTCTACGCAATACATTATTTTCAAAAACCTTAAGACGCTGCTCATACCTTAATGTAAGCGGCCAAGTTTCGCACCCATAAAGAACTGTAGGCAAGATAATTGTTTTATAGATTCTAATTTTTAAGTTTCCGGGACAAGAGGCGCGAACTGAGTAGTTTTGTCACAGAAAAATAGCAAGCATTTCCCGCCTTCAGTCTAACCTTAATTTCTTCTTCAATTTCGTTTTTTCTAGTTATCGTAGAACCTAGATACCTAAACTTATCTACCTGTTCAAACATATTACCATCTATATCGATATCACCAGTAGTATTGCCATTTTTGCAGATAACCATATATTTTGTTTTATCCACGTTTATTTCGAGTCCTAGTTCTTTACCGGCTTTCATTAACGTTGTCGTATTTAGTTTAATAGTTTCAAGGTCTTCGCTTAACAGTACCAGATCATCCGCATAACCCAGCACGGATGTTGTTCCACCCAGATCCAACCCTTTCTCGGTACGCATTACCTCCCTAATGGCATGTTCTAATGCCAAATTGAAATGGACAGGCGAAAGGGAATCCCCCTGTTTTAAACCTGAACGAACCTCAAATTTTTCGGACAGATTATAACCGATTCTAACTTTATTGAGTGTCTCCGTTAAGCACATCCTGACTAGATTTACTAATTTTTTAGGAATCCCCTGCCCGATTAGAATATTATACAGTTTCTGGCGGTCAATAGAATCGTAAGCCTTTTTAAAATCTATATACAGCTGGTGAACAATACCTTTGTACTCCAATTTTTTCTCTAATATTTGCCGTAAAGAAAATATTTGATCAATAGTCGAACGATTCCGTCTAAATCCGCATTGGTAGTCTCCGATAATTTCCTCGGCGTATTCCGTGATTCGACTGGTTAAGATTTAAGTAAATATTTTATAACATACCGGAAGGAGTGAAATTCCTTGATAGTTATTACAATCCGTCCTTGGACCCTTTTTGTGAATCGGAATAAGAAAATAACATCATTATTAACCTTATTAACTGCACACGTCTCTTTCCATTCTTCAGGTAATTTCTCATTCACCCAGATCTTTTTAACCAACCAATGTATTTTAGAAACTCCAGCTTCCCCGCATGCCTTAATTAGTTCAGTGGGAATATTGTCGGTTCCCGCTGCTTTATAAGATTTTAATTTTCCGATAGCTAATTCAACTTCCTCTTTACTTGGTCCTTCTATTAACGGTTCAGCACTCTGGTACTCAGAAGGAGGACACAGATCATAATTTCCCGTATTTAAAATATTGTCAAAGTGGTCCTTAAATTTATTCAATATGTCAACTGGACATATTGATACGGTCAGAATATTGTTATTATCATCCCTAATTCCAGACGTTACGGACTCTACACATTTACGTGATCTGTTTATACCTTTGTACATGTCTCTTACGTTATTTTCGATTCTATTAGTTTCTATTTCAATTATTTTATTTTTAAGATACTCCCTTTTTTTATTTTTGAGCAATTTTGTCGTTTCGTTCTTTGAGGTTCGGAAGTATTCCAGATTGTCTTCGCTAGGATTATTTAGAGCTTTTAATTTAGCGGCTTTTCGTTTTTCGCACATGTTTAAGCAATCTTCATCAAACCACGGTTTGTTATTCTTATTTTCCATTTTTCCTAGACACGAGTTACCGACCGCTTTAATATTATCCCTGATCTCTACCCATAACTTGTCAATATCCTCGTGGTCCTCGTCAGGAAGCTCTAAAGCTTCAAACCTATTCTTAACATCTAGCTCGAATTGGGTTCTAATTGATGGATTTTTTAATTTGTCCAAATTAAAATTCTCAAAATCAAAACGGTTTTATTTTCTCTTTTTTATATTAAGTTTTTGTCGAAGTTTCGCGATTACTAATTCATGATCCGACCCACATTCTGCTCCGCGATAAGACTGTACATTAATTATACTGCTTTGCCAGCTATGTTGTATCAAGACATGATCGATTTGATTTCGTGTTTGCGAATCCGGTGATGTCCAAGTATATTTATGAATATCCTTATGTTTAAACGTCGTACTTTTAATTATCAGGTTTTTCGAGATGGCAAAGTTTATCAGACGGATCCCATTATCATTACTATATTCGTGCAAACTTTCTTTACCAATCGTCGGAATATAAACTTCTTCCCTTCCTACTTTTGCGTTCGCATCACCTATAATTATTTTCATGTAGTTTCGCGGTAGTTTATCATAAACCCATTTGAGTTTATCGCAAAATTCACTTTTGACTTCATCGTCACTGTCTTCGGTCGGACAATGTATGTTTATTAATGTGAATTTAAACCAACGTCCCTGAAATGTTGCTACCGAAATTCTATCACTAAAGAATTGTACGTCCCTCAAAGGGGATAGTAATCTACTCCTAATTAGAAACCCGGTACCCAAACAATGATTCCCGCTTCCTCCGTACCAAATAGTGTACTTTCCTTCCCTCATCGAGCCCTCCCCTGGCCAGCGAACCTCTTGCAGAGCCACGACATCCAAATTGTACCCATTCACCTCATTCGCGACCGATTTTAGCCCCCCTGCTGTGTTTAAACTCCTTACGTTCCACTTACCAATATTTAAATCCCTATATTTCAACTTGCGCCGGAGACCCGAACGGGGGACTAGTTTACTTCCGGATAATGAGCGTTTAACCTTAGGGAGATCCGTGACTATTTGTGGTGTTTGGTGAACGAAAGATATGTGAGTAGGGCGTTCAATCCTACGTCACACCCTCCAGCAAGTCTGGTGGGCCCCTACCTCCAGCAAGTCTGGAGGTCCCCTCCCTCCAGCAAGTCTGGAGGACCCCTCCCTCCAGCAAGTCTGGAGGTCCCCTCCCTCCAGCAAGTCTGGAGGTCCCCTCCCTCCAGCAAGTCTGGAGGTCCCCTCCCTCCAGCAAGTCTGGAGGTCCCCTCCCTCCAGCAAGTCTGGAGGTCCCCTCCCTCCAGCAAGTCTGGAGGTCCCCTCCCTCCAGCAAGTCTGGAGGTCCCCTCCCTCCAGCAAGTCTGGAGGGCCCCTCTCATTGTTGGTCAGCGAGTCCATCGGACTTAGCCGGGAGGAACTTCCAAGGAATTTCCACCGACCATCCCCACATCCGCCACCCGTGGGACGCTCCCCTTACGCGGTAATGAGCCCGCGCGAGATGTGCTAGATTTAATATTTTAAATATTTATATTCATATTAATATTTCAAAATTACTGATTTTTCAAAAATATTTATAATATCGATGAAAAGATCAACTCTCGATAGTATTGATATTTCAAATCCGATATTTCGATGGTATCGATAGTTATAGGCTCTTCGATATCCCATGTAAGGAAGCAATTTGAATTATTCTTATTTTGAACAATTTAACTTATTTAATAACTATTCAACCGCTTAAACATAATGTTTAATAATTGGTTAAAAGATTAAAAAAAAAAAAAAAAAGTGCAAACAGATCAGCATCATTTAGGTCACATTTTCCTTTATTTTTGTTTTGAAAATACAAGGTGCTTAAGCAATACTTACCTTAATACTTACCTGGGGATTTAAATACAATTTTAAAATAACTTAAGCTGCTGAATATCTTTCTATGTTTTGCTTTTGAATATTTTACTTCTTTCTGAATTTAATTCATGAAATGTCGGGATGTGGAGGAAGGGAGAGTGAAAGAAAAGTTGAGAGCTTAGGTGAAACTTTTCTCACTTCAACGCAATTTACTAATTTATAACTCAATAAATTAATTTAGAGGAGCCAAAGCGTTAAAAAGTGCAAAAATGGTTAGTGTCAAAATGTTTTTTTCTAACTCCAATTCAATTTAAATATCGGGCAGGGTGACAGAGTGAGATAACGTGGGTGCAAAACACACTGGAAAACTGATAAATAGAAGTTTACAAGATATAATAATTACGAGTTCTGTCCCGGTGCCTTAGTGACTTTAAACTCTGACATTAATCCCTTGCCCTCCCACAGGAAAATTATTTTTAAAAAATCTCAATTTAAATACAAAACCCATTTGATATAAACGGACTCCCTTTAAAAATAATTATAATAAATTTATATATTAGACATTTTCTGAACTCTATATATATTTAGAGTATATATTTCCCAATATATATGGGAAGACCAGTACTAGAATATACTTTTCATGAAATATAATAATAATTTTAACATGAGTACAGGTTGCAATAAGAGCTTACATTACATTATAGGCAGCTGTACTCATTATTTTTTATGTGCCACAGAGGAATTTACAGGAAAAACTAGAAAAAAAACAGTAAAAATCTAAAATAAAAACTTGAGAAAATCTGAAGAAAATAAACGAAAAATGTATGGAAATTTTTTTGAGATGAATCGCTTGACACCCTGCATATATATGTGGAGACCGTTAGTTGAATATACTTGTCATAAAATAAAAAGTGTAACATGAGTATAGGTTGCAATAAGAGCTTACATTACACTATAGGCAGCTATACTCATTATTTTATATGCGAAACAGAGGAATTTGAGGGAAAAAAACTGCAAAAATCTGAAAAAAAAAATAGGTAAAAATCTTAAAAACCAGGTAAAATCTGGAAAACGGGATTTTTTTGGATGGAGGAGAATCTTACTGGACATCTTGAATAAGAACTTTTATATTTACAAAATATTTATCTCTTTTTGGGAGGGAATCATTTTGGTAACACAGTTTAGGTAAAAATTAATTATTTAAAATTATTAATATTAACTATAAAAATTATACTTCTATCCATTGTATACCTGACTAACAATGGAGGTAGAAATTAATACATAAAATAACTAGTTATATGCTTAAATAATTTTCATGAAAAGGCTTTCCGTCCCAGGAGCCCATTATCCTTTTAAGGTCACTGTCATATGCTCACACTTCTTCCTCTCTACCTGTTCTTTAAGGGTCAACCAGGTCACATTGAGATATATGTTTCAGGTTATGATGGGCCATTACAATTTACCATGATGCATGGCAACCCTGATTCAGGAGAAAATATTACTGGACTTGTAGAAAATATATCTGAAGGCAGTGATGGTAAAATATTTTAATTCATTTTAATTTGTAGAATAATAATATTTTTCATTCTTTGTTATCCATTTATTTATTTATTTATTTTCTATATCAAACTTTTGTAATTTTATTTAATTTCATGGTATGACCCTGGGATAATATATAGTTGGACATCAACACAACGAGAACCTGTGAAATAATAAAGATAAATGTAGACTCATCCCTAAAATTATCTAAATTTATAATGATGTAGAGATGGTTGACCGTTGATATAATATGAGAAGGAGTTAGTCGAGGGTGTGGTCAAATAAATAAAAAAAATTAAAATATATAAATTATTTTAATTTTTGCCGACGTTTCGACCCACTTTGCAGGTCCTCTTCAGGGCTACAAAAGATACAAAACATGTTGGAAATAAAAAATAAATATAAGTATATATAAAATACGAAGAAGTGGTCAGATACAGAAATAAAAGATGGTATCAGAGATATAGTGGGTGACAATGTAGTTAAATATTAAGAATTATATATGTAGAAGATACAAATAAATGGAAAATAAGTAGGAATAAAAATAAAAATAAAGGAGAATATAGCATGTAAGTTAAAAGTAAACAGATTGTGATAAAAGATAAGGAATAAGTGTATAACAAACTCATAGAGATTACATTAGATAACTGTGGGTTAACAGATAAAGAAAATAAATACATGAATGTTAACGAATAAATGAATGTTAACGAATAAATAGATTGAAAATTGAATAACTATTGTTACAGTAAAGTTAAAATATGGATAAGATAACATAATAATAAGATATCAGTGGATAACAAGCAAGTGGAGGTTACCTTTAATTGTAAATAAACAGATAACGGGACTAAAGGTTAAGAAGTGAAGAAATTGAAAGATTAATAGGGTAACATTAGTGTAATATTGTTGGGATAGATTATTAAGTATAAATAACTCTATAAGAAAACAATAATTTTAAAAGAATACTTTAAAATGTAAGAATAAATGTAAAAACAAGGTTATGATGATAAAGAAACAAAAAACAGGTTGTACTATATTATAGATGACAATTGACATTCAGTTTTTTGAAAGCGGTAATGGAATGGTAGGCTGCATGAAGATAATAATAAGGTGTATAGTTGAAGGATAGGTGTGTTAAGAAAAGAATCACAATAAAAGTCAAAACATACCGTAGGATGTGGCACTGCGGGAGGCAGTTGAAACACTGGCAGTGTCAAAAAACTCTAGTTAGCAGTGTCAAAAAAAAGTTCTAGTAAAAATAACGTATACATACATACACATATACACATACAAACACACACACATATATATATATATATATATATATATATATATACATACATATATATATATATACACACACAAGCTACATATATATATATATATATATAATATATATATATATATATATATATATATATATATAAAAATTAATAAATAAATAAAATAAAAAATAAAATAAATATTAAAAAATATATATATATATATATGAAAGGAAAAGAAGTAAAAGAAAGTATAAATGGAAGTGAGAAGATTAGATAGAGGTTTATGATCGAAACTTTTTTAAAATGTTGATAATTTGGGAGTAGGCGAGTGATAGATTTTGCTTGTCGGTTTTTAAGTTAAGTGGTTTGTAGTCTAATTGAATGAAAACACTTTCCGTAAGTAGTCTTTTGTCCTGGTTAGGTACTGTTGCAAGAATGGAGGTGTTGTCAAAGTCAAATGTGTGGTTTGAGGATAAGGCGTGTTCAGAGAGTTTAGAAGCAGTAGAGTTCTTAGAAGTAATTGAGTATTTGTGTTGTTTGATGCGGTCTTTAAGATGGTTTTTGGTTTCTTCAATATAGGCAGAGTTACAATTGGGGGTAGAGTAAGGAATGCAGTATACAACATTAGAGCGGTGTTGAGGAGGGATGGGGTCTTTTAGGTTGGAGTAAATATTGGCAAGTTTGTTATAGTTTTTAAAAGCAACTCGCAGGTTGGGAATAGAGGAACGTATAGATTTTTGAATTCTATCCGAAAGTAAAGGGATGTATGGTAGAGATCTATATAAAGGAATGGGGGGCTGATTTTGTGAACTAGAGAAAGGGATGGAGGATGAGGGGCGGGTTTTGTAGTCAGTAATAAGTTTTTTAATGGTGTTGGAGGGGGAGTTATTAGACAATAGTATCTGTTGCATGCGTCTAGTGTTTGTTTCATGTAGGTAAGGGTCAGATAGAGAAAAACATCGGTGAATGAGGTTTTTGGCAACGTTAAGTTTTTGGTGAAAGGGGTGTTGAGAATAGTAGGTTGAGTAATCTGCCAGAGTATGTCAGTTTTGTGTACCAGTCTGTGGATAAAGTATTGTTGGGATGTCTTTTAATGAGAAGATCGAGGAAAGGGAGGGGATAGTTATCTTCGTATTCAACTGTAAAAGAGAGGCGGGGATGATATGAGTTAAAGGCGGAAAGGATGTCAGGAATAGTATCAGGATTGACGATGAGAAGAAGGTCATCGACGTATTTTTTTATAAGAAATATGTCGTTAGGAAACTGAGGGGCTATGGTGTTTAGGAGATCATTAAGAACAATGTTAGATAACCTTTTTTCTTTGATCTGGTAGTAATAAAGATAGTGGATATAATTTGTGATAGGTTAGTCATGTGTTCGTCAGTCATGATGGTTTGTATTAATTGAGTGATGGCAGAAATTAGTTGGTTGAGGTGATGGATATGTTGTATGATTTCACGGTTTTTCAAATTAAGGAGGGATTTTTTGAATTTTAAAGAACAGTTAGATAATTTGGAATTGAGTGGTTTGGAGATAGTAATGTGGTTGAGGGAATTAGTGATTGATTTAGGAAAAAGAGAGTTGGAGAGAGTTGTTGCAAATCTGGTTATCTCCAGTTCCATGGACAATTTTATAATCAAATTGCAGGATTAGCTACCTCAACCAACTAATTTCTGCCATCACTTTTGCCATTTCCGCCTCTCTTTTACAGTTGAATACGAAGATAACTATCCCCTCCCTTTCCTCGATCTTCTCATTAAAAGACATCCCAACAATACTTTATCCACAGACTGGTACACAAAACTGACATACTCTGGCAGATTACTCAACCTACTACTCTCAACACCCCTTTCACCAAAAACTTAACGTTGCCAAAAACCTCATTCACCGATGTTTTTCTCTATCTGACCCTTACCTACATGAAACTGTGTGTGTTTGTATGTGTATGTATGTATATGTTTATTTTTACTAGAACTTTTTTTCGACACTGCTCACTAGAGTTTTTTGACACTGCCAATGTTTCAACTGCATCCCGCAGTGCCACATCCTACGGTATGTTTTGACTTTTATTGTGATTCTTTTCTTAATACACCTATCCTTCAACTATACACCTTATTATTATCTTCATGCAGCCTACCATTCCATTACCGCTTTCAAAAAACTGAATGTCAATTGTCATCTATATATATAGTACAACCTGTTTTTTGTTTCTTTATCATCATAACCTTGTTTTTACATTTATTCTTACATTTTAAAGTATTCTTTTAAAATTATTGTTTTCTTATAGAGTTATTTATACTTAATAATCTATCCCAACAATATTACACTAATGTTACCCTATTAATCTTTCAATTTCTTCACTTCTTAACCTTTAGTCCCGTTATCTGTTTATTTACAATTAAAGGTAACCTCCACTTGCTTGTTATCCACTGATATCTTATTATTATGTTATCTTATCCATATTTTAACTTTACTGTAACAATAGTTATTCAATTTTCAATCTATTTATTCGTTAACATTCATTTATTCGTTAACATTCATGTATTTATTTTCTTTATCTGTTAACCCACAGTTATCTAATGTAATCTCTATGAGTTTGTTATACACTTATTCCTTATCTTTTATCGCAATCTGTTTACTTTTAACTTACATGCTATATTCTCCTTTATTTTTATTTTTATTCCTACTTATTTTCCATTTATTTGTATCTTCTACATATATAATTCTTAATATTTAACTACATTGTCACCCACTATATCTCTGATACCATCTTTTATTTCTGTATCTGACAACTTCTTCGTATTTTATATATACTTATATTTATTTTTTATTTTCAACATGTTTTGTATCTTTTGTAGCCCTGAAGAGGACCTGCAAAGTGGGTCGAAACGTCGGCAAAAATTAAAATAATTTATATATTTTAATTTTTTTTATTTATTTGACCGCACCCTCGACTAACTCCTTCTCATATCTAAATTTATTGATTGATTGATTCGAAGATCTTTTAGCCTAAAACATCATAACAGGCAATAGCGCTAAATTTTCGTAGAACAAAAATGAGGCATACAGAAAGATCATTTGATATCTTTTGTATAATAATGGTCTCCTGATATGAAAATTTCTATTGTCATTTTAAATGTTTAAATATTTTGAAAATTTTTTATTAGTTTGTAGGAGCAGGTCAAACCATATGATTTAATTTAATTTGATAAACAATCGATATCATATGTAAATAAGATAATATGTTCAGATGTTTTTATGGTGATAAAATGTAATGTTTGTGGTTATAAATAAATTGTGTTGATTAGCAAATCTGTAGCTTTCTTTAAGATATTTATTAAAGATAATCTATCTTAACTTAAGTAATATTAATAAAACGACCAGTAATATTGGTGACCACCCGACATGATTAATAATTAGAATGCCGAAGGAAAACTACTTGTACATTCCAGAAATGACCGAAAATCAACAATCAAAAGAAAAATATCTTGAAGTAAGCAAAGTTTCCGTTAAAATACCACCATTCTGGCTTGAACCACCTGATGTATGGTTCAGACAAGTTGAAGCTCAGTTTAAATTAAGCGGAGTCAACTAGATATAGTTGATATTATAGATTCAGAAAATGAAGCAAAATATCCACTTGCCAAAACAAGACTTTTGAGCCTTTACAAAGAGAGTGAAGAATCACAAATAAAACGGTTAGTAGCTGGTCTAGAACTCGGTGATTTAAAACCAA